TGACGTGAAGTCATGTGACCAGTGCTCTAGTTCCTTTATAGCCCAACATTAGCCACCTTTAGCTTAGCGGTGGTGACGTGAAGTCAATGTGACCGTGCTGGTAGTTCCTTTATAGCCCAACATTAGCCAACTTTAGCTTAGCGGTGGTGACGTGAAGTCATGTGACCGTGCTGTAGTTCCTTTATAGCCCAACATTAGCCTCCTTTAGCTTAGCGGTGGTGACGTGAAGTCATGTGACCGTGCTGTAGTTCTTTTATAGCCCAACATTAGCCGCCTTTAGCTCAGCGGTGGCGACGTGAAGTCATGTGACCGTGCTGTAGTTCCTTTATAGCCCAACATTAGCCACCTTTAGCTTAGCGGTGGTCACGTGAAGTCATGTGACCGTGCTGTAGTTCCTTTATAGCCTAACATTAGCCACCTTTAGCTTAGCGGTGGTGACGTGAAGTCATGTGACCGTGCTGTAGTTCCTTTATAGCCCAACATTAGCCACCTTTAGCTTAGCGGTGGTGATGTGAAGTCATGTGATCGTGCTGTTGTTCCTTTATAGCCCAACATTAGCCGCCTTTAGCTTAGCGGTGGTCACGTGAAGTCATGTGACCGTGCTGTAGTTCCTTTATAGCCTAACATTAGCCACCTTTAGCTTAGCGGTGGTGACGTGAAGTCATGTGACCGTGCTGTAGTTCCTTTATAGCCCAACATTAGTCACCTTTAGCTTAGCGGTGGTGACGTGAAGTCATGTGACCATGCTGTAGTTCCTTTACAGCCCAACATTAGCCTCCTTTAGCTTAGCGGTGGTGACGTGAAGTCATGTGACCGTGCTGTAGTTCCTTTATAGCCCAACATTAGCCTCCTTTAACTTAGCGGTGGTGACATGAAGTCATGTGACCGTGCTGTAGTTCCTTTATAGCCCAACATTAGCCTCCTTTAACTTAGCGGTGGTGAGGTGAAGTCATGTGACCGTGCTGTAGTTCCTTTATAGCCCAACATTAGCCACCTTTAGCTTAGCGGTGGTGACGTGAAGTCATGTGACCGTGCTGTAGTTCCTTTATAGCCCAACATTAGCCTCCTTTAACTTAGCGGTGGTGAGGTGAAGTCATGTGACCGTGCTCTAGTTCCTTTATAGCCCAACATTAGCCACCTTTAGCTTAGCGGTGGTGACGTGAAGTCATGTGACCGTGCTGTAGTTCCTTTATAGCCCAACATTAGCCTCCTTTAGCTTAGCGGTGGTGACGTGAAGTCATGTGACCGTGCTGTAGTTCCTTTATAGCCCAACATTAGCCTCCTTTAGCTTAGCGGTGGTGACGTGAAGTCATGTGACCGTGCTGTAGTTCCTTTATAGCCCAACATTAGCCACCTTTAGCTTAGCGGTGGTGACATGAAGTCATGTGACCGTGCTGTAGTTCCTTTATAGCCCAACATTAGCCACCTTTAGCTTAGCGGTGGTGACGTGAAGTCATGTGACCGTGCTGTAGTTCCTTTATAGCCCAACATTAGCCACCTTTAGCTTAGCGGTGGTGGCGCGAAGTCATGTGACCGTGCTGTAGTTCCTTTATAGCCCAACATTAGCCTCCTTTAACTTAGCGGTGGTGAGGTGAAGTCATGTGACCGTGCTCTAGTTCCTTTATAGCCCAACATTAGCCACCTTTAGCTTAGCGGTGGTGACGTGAAGTCATGTGACCGTGCTGTAGTTCCTTTATAGCCCAACATTAGCCTCCTTTAGCTTAGCGGTGGTGACGTGAAGTCATGTGACCGTGCTGTAGTTCCTTTATAGCCCAACATTAGCCTCCTTTAAGCTTAGCGGTGGTGACGTGAAGTCATGTGACCGTGCTGTAGTTCCTTTATAGCCCAACATTAGCCACCTTTAGCTTAGCGGTGGTGACATGAAGTCATGTGACCGTGCTGTAGTTCCTTTATAGCCCAACATTAGCCACCTTTAGCTTAGCGGTGGTGACGTGAAGTCATGTGACCGTGCTGTAGTTCCTTTATAGCCCAACATTAGCCACCTTTAGCTTAGCGGTGGTGGCGCGAAGTCATGTGACCGTGCTGTAGTTCCTTTATAGCCCAACATTAGCCACCTTTAGCTTAGCGGTGGTGACGTGAAGTCATGTGACCGTGCTGTAGTTCCTTTATAGCCCAACATTAGCCTCCTTTAACTTAGCGGTGGTGACATGAAGTCATGTGACCGTGCTGTAGTTCCTTTATAGCCCAACATTAGCCTCCTTTAGCTTAGCGGTGGTGAGGTGAAGTCATGTGACCGTGCTGTAGTTCCTTTATAGCCCAACATTAGCCACCTTTAGCTTAGCGGTGGTGTCGTGAAGTCATGTGACCGTGCTGTAGTTCCTTTATAGCCCAACATTAGCTTTTTACTTCAGAAGTCATAAAGTGGTGTTAATATGTGGAGATTATCCTGCTGAACAATCACAGGGGGCTCCTGATCAGTATTCATTGTAACACACACACACACACACACACACACACACACACACACACACACACACAC